TGGAACAGCGCCATTTTTTCTCTAGCACCAAGGATCGATCGTGAAACGAGATATCGATTTTGTATACGAACGCATACAAAACGAAGAAAATATCGAAAGATAAGATAAAAAAAGAAAACAGTACAAATTTAAACGTGTAATGTTCGAGAAATCGCAACAATAATAATTTTTTCCTAGAAAGGAAATCGTGCCTCGCATGTGTTGCATATTGTGATTTGACTACCTTTCTGTGTAATTCGTAAAAACGAGTAAAAAACTCTCGAGATTGAGGAAAGTTTATCGATTGAACATCGAATCGAGAGTGAAGCCGTTACACGCCGTTGGAATGCCCTCGTCCGGTGTAGAATTTCGATTTCCAGCTAATCATTCAGAATCGTCATGCGTGTCGAGTATTCTTGATCTCGAATTGTTACGCGTTGACAATCAAAACGTGCTTGTGCGTGAGATCCTGGCCAGTCATGTGCTCCTGTCACGCCAGGATCACTTCCTTAGATGACGAGCAGCCTGGCCGCCGAAAAGCTGATGCCAAGGCGGTTCTATTCGGCCTTGAACTGAAATACGTTTCTATGTGAAACTTCCTTTTCGACCCGCGTAAACAAAACGCGCGATTTTGTGCCTTTGATAAAAATTGTTCGTCAAGGATTCGATAAAATATTGAATTAAATGTTGGGTATTCCACAATCGCTAAGTGACCGTTCAGAAAGATCAATGAACGAAAAACTTCGTTGATTTTGTTCGATCGCGTAATCCTATCGAGGAAAGAAATTTACGAGAACAAAAATTTTTATTATCGTTTGACTTGATAACGATCCGAATCCTTTCATTGCGGGAAAAGAAATCGCGCGTTTCCGGATACCTTTTTAATTTCTAATTGGTTACAAAACTATGGAAACTTGAAACGAGAACCACTTGATGATGCGCTTGAACGATTTGCCGATTGGCTGGTAAACGAAACGAATCTTCAAAAAGTTGTTTGTCACGTAATGAGAAGTGGATTTCAAATACAAATGGCTACTACTATAGTTAATGATAATTCTTGATTGCTTGTTAATTAAGCCACAAAACAAAAGTGAAGATAATAAAAATCGCAAAAAGTTAGTCTCGGGAAATTAAAAAGAATTTATGAAAAAAGTATAGCCTATTTTTTCATTATCAAAAGGATAAATTTTTTTTTTTT